GCTTAAGGCTTGGGAGGAGATTGTGATTAGCTCCGATGATGAAGAGGAACTGTTGAGACAGTTTGCCGTATCTAGTACTTCAGGGTGCAGTACCTCCAAGGCGAAGAGTGCGAGATGAGCAGGTGGCTCGAATGGATCTTGAGTCTTGAGAGGGAAAGGGGGGCTTGAGCGTGGATCCGGGTGAAACTTGGATTCACGAAAAAGAAGTTTTAACAAAGCAAATATTGTTATTAATATACTATATTTATTATATAAATCAAAATGCTGCATGACAATTTCCTGATTGAATAGGACAAAAGAAATTTTAAATGATTGGCTTGGAAAGCAAGAATTCAAGGGTGCAGGTGTGTGCAGATTTTGATTGCTGTTTAGCGATAGTGTGAAAATTTTACATGGCTGTGAATTTTGGGGTGTAGATAAGCTTAAGTCTGCTGCAAACTTCTGTAAATGACCACTGGCACTGTATCTTGAGTAACACTCGGTTTTCTGGGACTCACTGGCAGAAGACAGCACGCGATGAGGACATCGATCTCGAGTCCGGGGAGTATGTGCCAGTCGGTCATATTCGGAAGTTTGACCTTGAGAGAAGCAAAAAACACTTGATTTTGGAGTGAAATTTAATTTTTCAAAATTTCGAATGGAACCTGTCATGCACGATTTTCTCGCGATAACTGAAAATCAGAAAAGAGAAGTCAGAACGATCGAGTGACAATCGCGGGAAAGTTGCTAATTAAAACGGTGGGAAATTGCTATTCGCAATTTCTGTCACAATAGAACAAGAGAAGAGCTGTCCCATCTGAAACAGAGACAAGCGTATTCCCGAGAACTGGATTGTCATTACTCGATTGGATTATTATTTGAACTGGACTAGAGTGAACCTTCGGTGGAAAGGTGGACAGCTTGAGTGTCCCAATGGTTCACGAGAACTTACAGTCTAGAGTAAAAACTTGTTCTTGTTATTAAAACTGACTAACATTAAACTCATTTTAGTTACTTTATTAATTCTTGAGTTGCTCACCGACTTATTTACTTCCTGGTTCTTGAGCGTGCTACAATGTGAGTACTAATTTAAATTTCTAGAGTGTGTTTTATAATTGTTATGTTGAGGTAAGGCGAGTTTTAGGTTGATCCATCTGAAATGGATCAAAGTTCCACTGTCTAATAAAAAGTAACTTAACGGATTGTTCCAACCCGGTTTTTAACGGCGTTCATGTATTTTGGGTATCTAGAGACCTGAGTATGGGGACGTTATTAATTCTAGAGTGGGGGGATATTTTAGTAGTAGCCTTTAAGCTGTAACGGGTCGTAGTCTCATGTCACAAGCGAACCGAATTGGCTCCGACTGATTTGAGGTACAAAAACACAAGAGATAGTGTCCCTGACTCTTGAGCCAATGGTTATAGGGCCTATTTTTCTTAAGCCTCATGTGTGACTGCAGTAGACGAATGTTACATTAAGTGGGCGACTGTTACATTGCTCCGATGCTAATTTAACGTTCAATTGTTTTAATTGTAATTTTTTCTTAAAATACACATTTTGAAAGACTAATCGAGACAACGATTTGAAAGTTTGGTACATCTAGTATTTTCTCTCGATTTTTTTTCGACAGCTGCTTTCGTATTATTTTCTGCCAACAGAGGTGTCACGCTATGTTTGTGGTTGTATCGCAAGTGGTGCAATGCTCGGCTTCGCTTCTGTAAAATAAACTGTTAGGTGGGATTTCTAAGCTATTTTGGTCATAGCATGATTTCTGGGATGTTGTAACTGACTTGAAAAGCCACATCTGCAAATTTTTGATAATTGTTTCAGTTAAAATGACGGAAACCAGCAGCAGCTTGAATGACGATGAGTTTTACCAGAAGCTCATGCAGCTGCGAGAAGAGCAAAAAGCGACGATGAAACAGTTAGAATCGCTCTATGCAGCTAAAATGGAAGCGCAGGGAACGGAAGTTGAAGTCACCGGCAGTGCTGAAAATCTAGAACTCCTGGCTGCTCAAAATATTCAAATATCAGACGCACGGTTAGCTGATTTGGAGCGTGAGTACAGAGATCTATCTCTAGCAGACTTCCCAACCAACGACAATGCAGAGTCGCAAGACATAGACCATAATCAGAACGGAAACTTCGAAAGAGTATCGGCAGATAGAATGTGGGATGGCGTAGCAATCACCGACTACATGAATCGGTTAGACTTGGAGCACGAAAGAAATTTAGATGACATTGAAATGACACTTAAAAGGCATCGAATGAATTCTCTTTCGAAGAAGACAGATGATTGGAAACCCTCGATCACAGTTCCGAAACCATTTAGTATGACCATCCGTGAGTACCAAAAGCCAAAAAAGAAGTCCAGATCACAGCAAATTTTCGAACTAGAACAGGAACAAAAACGACTCTCCGAAATGAAGGAGCTGACTAAAAAGTTCAAAGCAAACCCAATTCCGGGCCACACGTTTCTGCCTCTCTACGAAACAATGCAAGATAAAGACAAAAATGTCAGATCTAGCTCGAAAGAAAAGCGAAAGTTTGATCTCCAAAGCATGACAAAACCTTTCAAGTTCACTGACAGGGACAACGACTATGCTAGGATTTCGAAACTTTCGAAAAGCATCGATAAAATGATTGCCGACGAAAGCGAACGTCCGCCCCAGTTTAAGGCAAAACCAGTTCCTCGGAAGGTCTTAGATAAACCTAGTGTTACCGAAAAAATGCAGGAAGAGGAATTGTTTAGGCAAATGAGATGTAAATTGCGAGCACAGACTTTGCTGCGTCAAAGTAAGGCGCCAGTATCTTCACCAGAAGTTTCAAAAACTGCCAGCAGAAAAAATAAAAAGGCACCTTCTGATTCGAGAAACTCTCTCCCAAGGAGATCTAGGAGCGCTTTGAGTCATTCGGTACCAGACTTCGACGCCCAGTATAAAAAATTTCTGAATGAAGCCGAGAAGAACCGAACAATGAAAGAATCCACTGTCTGTAAGCCATTTACAATGCGTACTGAGCAAAAACATTCAGCAAAGGTAGAAAAGTGCGTAAAAGCGGATCTGGATATTCGAAGTCGACCATTGTCTGGACGTGCAGCCCTGAGTCCAGCTCAATCAGGCGCTCCGATTCGCAAGCACAAAACTTATAAAAGCGACACAATTCCACCCAAGATAACCAAATCTTTCGAACTGATGGCTTCGAAGAATCGCGAAAAGTTGAGCGAGTCGGCCCGAGAATCTAAATTGAACGAATATGAGGCGAAGAAGAAGAAAGCTAAAGAACAGGCTTTAAGAAAGCACATTGCCATGAAAGCTGCTGCGAATGATAACAGATTGCTTCTTGAAGAATCCAGAGCACGCAAGGTTCAAGAGTTTCGAGAGCAGCAACGCGAATTGGAAATGGAGTACCAACAAAAGTTGGCAAGTATGTCTGATCGTCTAGAAAATAGGCAGCTTCTGTTTGAGAGGGCGTCTGAAATCAATGCGAAAAAAGAAGCGGATAAAAGATACATAGAAACGCTGAGGAATGCAGGGATTGATGATGACTTGTTCAACAGTATCACGTCAGCTGGCAGAGGGTCATCTTATGACCTGAAGGTCGAAGACTTCAATGACAGTTTGGTCGATGAAAATTTGGACGATTCATATGCTAGTGATTTCGACAGTTCCGATAAGCTAACACCTGAGCACTAGTCCTTGTAATGAATTCCTAATAGATTTCAAGTCAACTCTTTGAGTTATTTTTCTCCTATACTATTTTTAAGTTTCACAACATTGAATTTCATTGAAGTTGGCCTGGTTATAGGGAGAAACTTAATTCCAATTCAATTTGATCAAAGATATCTGTAAATAGCTATGTACGTATGTAAAAAGTTTAATTTCATAATTGGTTTTTTAAAAATTTTATCCTTACGTTGCATTGAGTGTCGTGGTACATCAAAATACGTGTACCCCATTATGTGAGAGAAATCATAACGTTAAATAGCATAGGAATATGTCTATTAAAATGAGTAAAATACTACTTAGAATAAAACAAAAATGAGCAAGAACCTGTTGTTCTCCGTTTCCTTAATCCTGCTATCAGCTTAGTGTGTTATTACGAACCTTGTTTTTTTCTAAATTAACTCGCAAATAAAACTGTTCCCTTATTTGGAAATTTCACTGTAGCATTGGAAATTGCATAGCATCTGTTCTCTGCTTAATTTGTGGCTCGTGTTTGGAACCTATTAAGATTCCGTGTCTGAGTGTAAAGTGTGCGAGTCTCTGAATCGCTAGGTAACAGGTTCGAATCTCAGAGGTTGCTGATTTTTTTTCTACTAATTCGAGGCTTATTTCTAATTTTAATTATTGCACTTTATAGATCTGCTTTTTTTCGTGTTCTCACAAATTTTTATTAAGAGTCAATGAACATAGTGAAGTCTCTTATAGAGGTCTTGATTGTTTTCATGAAAAAGTCTTATAATGTGTTCAGCACAAAAACGCTCAATTTTGATAGTTTCGAAAGTGGATTTTAATTTTCAGAATTTCCTGCGGAATAAAGAGTTCACCTTTTGAACCAGTGTGTAACAAATTGGGTTAATTTTATCAACAAGTTCCAATCATAAGTTGATCTTGTAATTCAAAGAGCTTAAGGGCCATTTTTTTTCTTTGAAATTCAAAAGGCCTGTCTGTTTCCTTCCGTTCAGTGTCTCTTTCTAACTTTCTGTTGGCTATGATCTTCTTTTTCGAGGGAAGTACTTTTGAGTGGTTGGATGTTATCAGACAATTTCAGTTGTTCAACTCCTGATATTGTTAAGAGTCGTTTTATGTTCAAGAGTTTTTTTAATGTTTAAGAGACGCTTAATGTTCAATTGCAACTTCTCTAAAAACCAACCATTTCAGATAAAAATTTTTCATTTGAGATATTTTCGCATTTATATATCACATCTAAAAACAAACCAATTAATTTAATTGATCATCTGAATGTGGGTTATTGGTATTTCTTGTAGTTGTGTTGAAAGGAAAGTACATTTCAGAACTTTTTTGTTAAACATGGAACGCAGAACTGACTTTGGTGGCCGAAGAAACGACGTGTACTCTCGAGAACCGGCTCGAGTCGGCGGCAGCTTGTACGGAGACAGAGACCGAGAGAGGGGCGAGCGAAGGGGAGTGGGTGGGGGTAGAAGAGACGACCCGGATGAACAACGGAGGAAAATGTTCTGTGGAGGACTAAGCGTGGAGACATCGAAAGAAACAGTCGAGACTTATTTCTCCAGATTTGGACCTCTACAAGAAGTCATCATGGTCCCTGAGTAAGTTTGACATTACTTGTTTAGTTTGTTGTTTTGTTACGAGTTTGATATCTGTTCCTTGGATTGGTTTGGATCATTCAAAAGTTCATTGTAACTTTTCCAACTGTCTGTTGGCTATTTTTGTTCAAATTTTCTTCAGCTTGTTACTTTACTTCCAAGTGATCCTGCCATTTAAGTGTTAATGAAAAGTGAGCTTTTCATTATTTAGTTCGACTGATTTTTGTAGCATTTTAGCTATAAAAACTTTTGCAATAATTCAATAAAATCAAGGGGCTTTTTTCTTTCCCCTCCTGTGAAACTTTAAGTATTTTTTCTTTTTTGATTGAGAAAAATTGACATGCGGCCTGATCAGGCCATTCAAAATATAATTGATATTTATACTTAACCTTCTGAAACCCTCCGCAGAGCATTGAATTGATGCTTATGTGAGGTGGGGGAGGGAAGGAAAAGAACCAATCAATGATATATCAAGTATCAAAGAGTAATCACATGCTGTATTTTTTTTATTACTCATTGTTAATGGTAAATTTGCATACAACGAGAATTTAAATATGAAGCACCAGAAACAGTGAGGGGACAGTTAACGAACCCAATTTGGTTACCAACACTACCCGGTATTGGAATTCTAAATTTAAATGAAGTCAGCTCTCCAAAGTGGGAATTTGTGTGTTCTAGTAGTCGAACTGGGAGACCTCGTGGCTTCTGCTTCATCATCTTCCAAGACCAGTCCTCTCTTGACCTGGTGCTAGCTGAGAGGTCTCACAACATAGAGGGCCGTAATGTAGAGTGCACGCGTGCAGTAGGCAGAGAAGTTAGTTGAGATTGCTTCTTTTTTGTCATCTTTTTCAACTTTTTGCAAAAGAGTTAAGTTGGTTCCAGGTTTTGACGAATTGGAGTCTTTAATAACTCTTGCGCTCGAATTAGAGCAAATAGCGAATCATAGGTAGTCAAAAGATAGATTCAATCTATACTTTGGCTGTTAATTTCTGGTGCAATTCCATTTAGAGTCTCATTTTTTGAGCAAATAGAATCAAATAGATCTGAGATGAAAATTATCATGAAAAATATTAGACACTTTTTTTCCTCTGGGCTCTTGGCAAAGAATAGCTTTTGTTCTTGTTCGAGCGAGAAATTAAATTCATGATTCTTTAAAATTAATTAAAAAACGTGAAATCTCGGTCTCTTTTCGACTTTAAGTCAGTATGTTTGTGTAAAGATACCCACAAGATACCGGCAAGTTATTGTTCCTGGGAATTGTATTTGCCAGTATATTTACAATTCAATTAACGTCAGATACAGTATCTTTCTAGAGGCTTACTCGAAGATGGGATAGAAAATGCAAAAATTGGAAAAATTACAAGTTTTTATCATAAATTTAAGAATGGATACCTGCTAGGTAACAACGAGCTGGCAACTTTAGTTTTCAGTTTTTAATTTTTGTGTAATTTCAGTACCTTGGTTAAATGCTACAGGACAATCAACTATAGGTTGCGATTTATGTGAAAAAATATGACCCTCCAGAACCTTTTAGTTTAGGAGATATGGCCCTTTTTATGATTTTTTGAATTTTTTCTCAATAATTATTTTCCCGAAAACTTAGAAAATTTTCTTCATTTTTTTTGTTTTTGTTTTTTGAAGCGACGTGTTCCCATGCCGGAGCATCAGCTGAACTGCTATAGGTAGCGCTATGAAGAAAAATATGTTTTCAATTTAGGTAAAAATCAAAATCACGTATTTTTTTGTTTTTTGTTAATTTCTTCATAAAAAAAAAAAAACTTATTTTCTTTCTTTTGTTTGATGTTAAATTCAGTATGTGTGCTATATAAGGGCAAAATTTATGTGGACCAATGGTCTCGTTAGTTGTCCATTCCGATGATAAATGCATTGATGAAATTACTTTTGTTTTGCTAATGACTATATTTATCAATCGGAAAAATAAATTCTTTCTTTCTTTCTTTTTTGTGTCCACGACATATAACCGACCTAACGGAACCCGATTTATCTCAGGGCCGAGCCGAGGCAGGAACAGTTCATTCTAGTTTCGTGGTTCTAAACAAGTCTTGAACGTGTTGCATGCATTTTATGTTTTTGTATTTTTTTTACTTCGGTTTCCTCTTCCTTGTACGACGTAAAAAAAAATTGTTTATAAAAGGGTTTTTTTAATTAATGCGGAATTATTGTCAATATTGGTGACTTTGCGAATTTCAGCGGTCAAAAAACTATAGGATCTGTTAATTAAATTGTTCAGAGACGGTTTTTACACGTGGAAATCAGTGCTAAACTGAAATTCGACGTCGAAATGAGCAGTTTTATGTTAAGTTGCTTCGTTCAGGTTCGTTGACTGAAAAAGATATTGCCAACAATTTGGCCTTAACTGTATTTAGTACTACAGCATTAGGAAGTTTCTATTCAACGTGATCATTATTTCAGGAAGTTCGCAATAACCCCGGATCGATCAGAAAGACAAAGCGGGTATACCTTGCCAGAACAAAAGACCTAACAGAAGAGGAGATAGCAGATTACTTTGAAACGTACATTGGCAAGGAGCTAGGGAATGTCGAGGCTGTTGAGCTGATGAAAAACAAAGACACGGGAGTTCACAGAGGGTTTGGTTTCATTAACTTCTCATCCTTTGAGGCAGCGGACAAAGTGTGCGGTTAGTCATAAAAGAAAGGGCTCTTTTTCCATACCCCCCATCTTAGATAAACATCAAATTTATTGCGTAGCGAGATGCTTTTCAAGGTAAAAAATGAAAACCAAATAATGTTTGTCATGGCCTTATTAATCCTCATGCCAATTTTTGTAGAATTGGACAATGCAGGGGCGGACGCCCCCGCCCCCCCCCCCCCCCCCCCAGGGATTCGACCCCCTGCCGACCCAAAGGGTCCCCCAACCCTAAAATTTTTCTAAAGGCGCCTTGGGCGCCAATATATACTAATTTTGAGGGGGGAGCGCGCGCCGAAAAAACGCGATTTTTTGGTCAAAATTTTCCAAAAAGTGCCTAAAAATGCCTTTTTTTGGATTGTTTTTCAAAATTTTGCCTGCGGCGCAGAAGTTTTGGACCAAAACAGGGACTAAACCGAACAAAAAAGTCGACCCCCCCCCCCCCCCTCGAGAAAATCCTAGATCCGCCCCTGGGACACAAAAAATTATTTGTGAAAGTTCGCTGGTGAAGTGAAAAGGAAAAAGAGCCGACGAGCGTCTCTCAAAATATTTGCCATGCTTTACTCCATTGATACGGCATATAATAATTTTGAGAACTATATGAGTATAGTGCATGTATTAATTTATGAACTATAATGCATTAGATAGTCATTTCATTTTCCATCAATTGAACATGATACTAAGTTAGTTTAACACTAACGAGCTTAAATGTGTTATTTTAATAACATTGCTCTGTCAGATGATTTGTTTTCAATAATTCAAATTTTACACTTTTAAAAAAAAACGTAGGCTTTTGAAATAAATTATAAATACTGTTCGAAGTATAACAAAGAGCGATCTAACTAATTAAATTGAATCTGCAGCTTATTGTAATATATCACCATGCTAGGTTTTAGCAGCTGATCTCCTAAAATTTACTGTTTGATTCAGTAGCATTTGTGCATAACTTCGACAAATCGAAGCTTCGTTGCTTTTGCACAGAAGTCAAATGTTGTCGTAAAACAACAGCATGATTACGGTCGCACATGAAATTGATCTTGAGCATCACCCTTCATGCAAACACGTTTTTAGAATGGCGTATTTGAAATAAATTTGGCTTATAAAATAAATTAGAAATACTGTTTAAGAGTAATGGACGTAGTGAAGACTTTTATTTAGGTCTTGCTGATTTTTTTTGTTTTTTTTTTTCAGGAAAAAGTCTCTAATTGCAGATGGGCATTCATACATATTGATACCTTTATGAATGCACCTAGGTATATGTGCACTTTCTGAGTTCATTTGAATTTCATAGCAGTTCATAGTAAATAGCAATCTCCAAATACGAATGTGGAACTGGCTCGAAAAAAGCGTGAACAATTTTTGTTTCGGAAGTGGAATCTAATTTTTAGATTTCCAGTGGAATAAAAACTTTACCTGATGATCCAGTGTTCTAAATTTGGGTTAATGTTATCAAAAAAGTGCCAATCATAAATTGTTCAAGAAACTCAAAGAGCTTAAAAGTCATCTATTTTTTCTTCGAAATTCGGAAGTTGAGATTTTTTCAACAAAATCAGTGTTTTTTTTTGTTTACTTGCATTCATTACCCTTTTCCAGTCTTTCATTGGCTGTGTTCGAAGTGTAACAAAGAGCGACCTAGCTATTCAAATTGTATCTGCCGCCTACTGTAATATGTCACCACGCCAGGCTATGGCTGAAATTTTTTTGAGTTTGTAGTGTTTTAGCTTTTATATTTGTTTGTTTTTAGCTAAGATTAAGCATAGTTATGAAGTTTCGGACATTTTTTGAAATGGCCTTAAGTAAGTTTTCTGAAAAATGAATTAAATCGCCATTGGGAAAAAATAGATTTCAGTTTTCGCTGTTCGACTATTTAAAGTTTCTGCCATCAGTTATCTGATTTTCATTGACAGTGCGTATTTTTGATAGTTTTGTTTGATTCAGTAGCATTTGTCCATAACTTCGACAAATCGAAGCTTCGTTGCTTTTGCACAGAAGTCAAATTTTGTCGTAAATCAACAGCATGATTACGGTCGCACAAGAAATTGATCTTGAGCATCACCCTTCATGCAAACACATTTTTAAAACTGCGTCTTTGAAATATATTTGGCTTTTAAAATAATTTAGAAATACTGTTTAAGAGTAATGAACGTAGTGAAGACTCTTATATAGGTCTTGCTGATTTTTTTAAGCCAATCAAAGTCGAGATAAGAAAACAAACATCCGATTTTTTCTCTATTCTGATTGCCTTACAAGGTGTCTACTTTGTGGCATGTAAACTTTTTGCAACGTAGCCTTTGTTTTTCTTACTTGCAGTTTGTGGCGACGAATCGAAGCTTCGTACATTTGCTCGGAAGTCATATTTTGTCGTAAAGCAACAGCATGATTACGGTCGCACAAGAAATTGATCTTGAGCATCACCCTTCATGCTAACACATTTTTAGAAATGCGCCTTTTGGAAAAGTTTGAGGTTTGAGTAAAGCTTTTTGTCTATGGTTTTTTTTAAAGTTAATAATTACTAATTTGGACTAGTTAGTTACTTATGATAGACTAAGTTTGTGGCCATCCAGAATACTGCAGCTTAAGCAGACAAATTTGACAATACTCAAATCTGATTGGCTGAAAAATGACATCAAGCGTGATTTTGAAATATTTATTCAAAATTGATGGAATTTTTTCAAGCCAAAATTGTTCAAGTTAACTTGATATTTGAGATAACATTTTGAAATAAGAAATTACTGAGAATTATCTGGGAATTGATATGGTGGTTTTTGTTTGGCAAAGGTGGCCTTAGATATAGAAAATGAAAATTTTGTCTGCTTACGAGTCTGTCTACTTACTTCTAGGGAAGCCAACGGACTAATTAAAAAATAACTCATGAGATAAGCATGGGCGTTGCAACCGACTTTTTTGCCCGTAAACAATCCTGCTCACAAAATTTCGCACTTGAAAATACTACACGTGTTTTACCTCCTGTATCCTGTTTAATAGATTAGTAGACGCCATATACATAACATCAGAATTTGCATGGCGCAGAAAGGTGGAGTTCTGTCAGTATTTTCCATTTTTTTGCAGTTCAAAAATAAATGACACAGGGATAAAGGATACTTGGAGCATTTATCGCTTCTTTTTGGCTGCATAGTGATATTTTTGACAGCAAATAGAAGCTTCCTTGCTTTTTTGGAAGTCAACAGTTTGTCGTAAATCAACAGCATGATTACGGTCGCACAAGAAAATGATCTTGAGCATTACCCTTCATGCTAACACTCATGGGTTCACGAAATAGCTTTTTTGATATAAAGAGCTTGTTTTGTCAACTTTCTCAAAGGAGACGACCTCGTACCAGAATGACCTTTTACTGAAAAAGTTATATTATGGTCCTTTTACTACACTCCATAAACAACTTTGATTGACAGATGTAATGACGCCGTTTAGTTTGGTTAAAAACAGTCATTTCACAGTTTCTCAGCGAAATTTTATTTGATTGAACCGCTCCTTTTCGAATCTTCAGAAATTTTGACTTATCTTAATTGTTTTGTGGTGCTAGTTAATTAAGACGACAGGACATTAAGACGACAAAACATTTAGACTACAAATAAGCGTTAAAACATGTAAATTGAACTGTTCGAATTCCAGTGAAATCTATTTCCCAGAAATACAATGTGGAGAGAAAAGCCTATTGAAAGTAAAGGCTGATTTTTGTTTATAAAAGATATTCTTAGAGTTGATTTTTAGTGCGTTCATTTTTCCGTTCTAGGCCAAAAAGACCACAAAATTGGGAGGCAAGATGTAGTTGCAATAAAGGCAGAACCCAAAGCAGACAGACCTCCCGAGAGGTATCCATCCGGAGGGAGCAGGGGCGACTACGGGGGAGGACCAGACAGAATGCCCATGCTACCTGCACCTGCTGGAGCCAGGTTTGTGAATCTGGGCTTGGAAAACTTAAGCGAAATGCATATTAATTATTCTGATCTCCTCAGTCAAAGCTGGCATTACGTCGTCAAGGGTTGCGTAGCAAAAAGTGGACAGTTATAAAGAAAACAAAGTCGTGAGCCAATTAGAATCGAGATAAGAAGACAAACGCGCGAAGTCTTTTCTTTTTTCTATTCTGATTGGCTCACGACTTTGTCTGCTTTATGACTGTCTTCTTTTTGACCGCACCCCGTTGTTGTTGTTGTTGCTAGTAGCTGCTCGCTAGCATTGATTCGTCTGTAGCATCAACTCGCTTTTGTCGATTGTTTTCAGAACTCTACAATCGTGATTTGTTGCGTCGTCTCGTCTGTCAAACAGTGACTGTGGCGATCACAGGGTTCGCTAAGAGCGGAAATTACCCCTATTCCAGTCCTGAGTAAACTCCCGTATTAGTAAAGCGGTTTTGTTACGGAGAGCCGAGCGAAACTCCCGTACCCGGTTCTGGCGGGCAGTTTTTAATTAGTGCGGAGAACCGAGAAAAACTCCTAATGTGAACTGGGTTTTGTTTCTGGGGAACGTACAAAACCCCTCATGTCTAGATTTATAATTGAAGAACCGCCCTTTGTCGTCAAGGTCGGGTACTTAGAAGTGGTTTGGATTTGATGGACATTGTCTAGGGATTCTGTCGCAAATCTTACATGACGTTAAATGTAATTAAAATTTAGTGTAAAGGTTGGCTTTATACACCCTTTGGTGTTTACTAGGGTCAAATTCCTTGGGGAGAGGGCGTCCGCCCTCTATACATCTGCCTCTTGTCGCAGGCATGACGTTTTTAGACTCCTTTTTAAAAGTTTTGGCCAAATAATTGCGTTTTGGCGCACGCTCTTCCCTCAAAATTAGTAGATTTTGACGCCTTTAGAAAACTTTTAGGGTCGGTCAGCTAAACATTGATGTCGTATCGTACAATTGTACCAAAGGGGTATCGAATCCTTGTAGGGGGACTCCTAACTGCGCTTCTAGAGCTATTTCAAATAACAAATTACTCAACTCCAAATAATAAGTTACTTCGAATTTACTGGACTTAAGCGTCTCTTTCTTTAGCTTCTCTTTCTAGGAACAGAATGCATCATTTTATGAGTGTCGATGATCGGGCTGAAGACTTACACAGGTCGTGATGGTTTTCTGATCACGCGCAAATTTGATTTTTGGCGGATTGGTTTTTTTTGATTTTGGCTTTTTTACAACCCCCACCCACCCACTTTTCAAGTTTTCTATTTTTGTAGTTACTTTACGTGTGATTATGGCTAAACGCGTGATGTTACATTGTAAAGTTTGAAAAACAAATATGATCACCATTGTTCGTTTGTTCACCATGCCAAGTTTCGTTGCATTATGGCAACATTAGAAATGTTTTTCAAAACTGGAATTGAAGGGTTGAGGGGAAGTGGAAAAGAGCCATAATTTTCAGACACAACGATAATGATGAGCAGATGAGTTTATTTTAGAATGATAGCGCCGGCCCTGCAGGCGTCTCTGGCAGGTAGGCCGACCGCAGTCACCCCCAGTGGTCAAAGTGCGGCTGATCTGAGACGGCTGGAGGAGGAGATCATGATAAGAGAGGAACAGCTGAAAATCAAGGAGATGAAGTTGCAGTTGCAGAGTGCACGACTAGCAGGTAATTTTGTTGCAGAAAGAGACCCCTCCAATTACATTTAATTTCAGCGGTGTCAAATCTGTTATATTTGTGCTTTGACTGAATCGCCAATTACTGGCATATTTTTTGCCAAAACTTTTCAAAGCTGAGACTGCAGAAAATCTTATGCCTAAAAATTATGTCTTCAGGATGGAAACGGATCAGAATTGTTTGTTAATGATGAGCGAGAAGCGAGTTGGATTAATGAGAAGCTTGGCGCTTAATACAAAACTGTTTAATGAAGAGCAAACTAAAGATAATAGTGCGGAAGTTCTGTTGTTAGGTTTATATCCATGCTAGCTGGAGGCGGAGCAAAAAGCAGAATGGTCCAAGAGCAGAATGGGTCCAAGAGCAGAAAAACAGGAAAATATTAACTTTTATTTATTAATACGGGCTAATTGATAAAAACAATTATTATAATTGTCAATAATACCAAGAAAATGAACAAAATATGCATGATTTGAATAATTTTATCAAGTTTTTTAAACTGAATTAAAAAAAAATCGATTAAGTTATTCAAATTATGCATAAACTATTGCTTCTTTGGTAAATTGACAATTCTTATACTTAATTGACCCATAAGCTAATAAAATTTGATATTTTCCTGTTTTTCTGCTCTTGGACCCATTCTGCTCTTAAACCATTCTGCTTATTGACTGGCCACCATGCTAGCCATTTTAAGAATCGTTTTAGTAGTTTGCAGAGTCCGGTCAAAAGGTAGTCAGGTTATAAAGTAGACGAGTCGTAAGCCAATCACAATCCACTTTCATAAGGTACACGAGTCTTAAACCAATCACTATCGATATAAGAAAACAAACATGCTATTTTTTTCTCTATTCTGATTGGCTTACAATGTGTCTACTTTATGGCATGTCCACTTTTTGCAACGTAACCTTTGTTTGCTTACTTGCAGTTTGTGATGACGAATCGAAGCTTTCGTGCATTTGCTCGGAGGTCATATTTTGTCGTAAATCAACAGCATGATTACGGTCGCATAAGAAAATGGTCTTGAGCATTACCCTTCATGCTAACACTCGTCATGATTATGCTTCAATGAACGAAGTGAAGACACTTATTTAAGTCGCATGGTTTTACTGGAATTAGTTCACGTTCAAATTTGATCTTACGAAAATTTAAATGGCAAGTTTGAAGAATCAAATTAATTTGTTGTGTCCGTTTTCAAATTGCGTCTTCTCAAAAATCGCTGCTTTTCAATTTGATAACACATTTCGCCCCTCACAAAATTCGCCCAACATTCATTATGGGATTTGGTGTGTCATTAGTCATTACCAGACGTATCTATTTGACGTATTACTCAAATTGATACATCTGAGGATAAAAATTTTGTGTCCAATGTAATAATTTGAGCTCAGCCGTGTTCTTTTGTGCAGAAGCTACGGGAGGCGGTGGTGGCATGCCTCGCGGAGGAGGAATGGGCCAGGTTGTTCTGGAGCGACCGATGATGGGCGGAGCGGGTAACTATAGTGACCGCATGATGGGACCCCAGAACGTGCAAATGGGAGGGGCCTATGCTGACCCCCAGGGTTCAGGACAGCAGGTGGAGTATGTAGACCGAAGAGTGACGATTGCGATGGGGGGACCCAGTGGTGCGGGGGGACCTATCAGAACGAGAGACAGATATGTGGGCATGATGCAACCTGCCACCGTTGATGAAGGTATTCGAAATTTGAAATCGAATCATGTAACAAGTGATGAATGTCATTTTTAGCATAGGGTTTTGAGCTGTACAAATAAAAAAACGCATCGGGTTTCGAGAAGTTAAAATTCTTTCGATTTTTTGCGTTCGATTTTTTTCGAATTTCGATTTAGGAACGCGTATTTAAAATGACTTGCGTGTTTCTCTATGGGTTTCTATGTGCTTCTGCGGATCCCAGGCTAAAAACAAGGTGATTTTTTTGTTTTCAGACCAAGCCTACGTTTCTCGTGGATCCAGTGGCTATGCCAGTGGGGGGTCGATGGGAGGAGCAGGAATGATGCAGTCTGATCTGGCGTTCTACGGGGGAACCGCTTCTGGCGGAGGAGGAGTTGGATACTATTAAAAGACGCACAAAGCTACCCGATCATCCCCTGCTCCGTTTGATTTGAAATTGAAAAACGAAATGTAAGTCGGCGATTGAAATTTCATCCTGGTCTTTTTCGTTTTGCTACGTAGAGGTCGATTGAGTTTTAATTGCTTTTGTAAGGTAATTTGTCAAGTCGTTGATTAACAGGTGATATTTCAGTTTCGATGAATAATTCTTTCATGTAGTTGAGTAAAAAAAATGAAAAAACAGTCGGGAGTTTTTATTTGGAATGAAAAACAAACGAGTGAAAAATTGCAACAAAAAAGGCTGCTTGGTAGAAAAAAACACTGACACTTAAAGTTTTTTCAGAAAGTTGAGGTTACGTGAGTTTGCAACTCGTAGCTACTAAACACCAATATAAGCAGAATCATCAGTTATTTTGCTCAGGGGCGGATGTAGGGGGGTCTCCCCCTTGTACTATTTTAAGATATCCATTTTTGATCATGGACCCTTAAAATTTTCTAGAGGCGCCAGTATATACAAATTTTGATAGTGGAGCACGCGCCGAAAAATTCCGATTTTTTTGGTCAAAATTTTGGCCTGTTTTCTTAAAATTTTGCTTGCGGCGAACAAAATTTTACCAAAACAGGGTCTTTTTAGTGCTTTGGAGCTCGGGCAATCAATTTGGTCGACCTAAAAATGGTCGACAAAATTATCGAACGAAAATTTTTTGTCCCCCAACCCCCCCCCCCCCCCCCCCCCTCCCTCGAGAAAATCCTAGATCCGCCCCTGAGTTTGCTTTTTATTCTGATTTGAACTATTATGCAGTATATGACTATATTGTTGAATTGAGATATATAGTAGATCAGATTAGATTGAGGACAAGAAAAGTTTGCTTCTTTCAGGTTTCGAGATTGTTGGAAATAGAAACACATCAGATCACCTCAGCAACTCTGTTAGACCCTAGAATCTCAATAGAAGGAAGGACAATATTAGACTCTCAAACTTAAACTCCAGCATTCGTTCCTGGTAATAAATAAGTAGAACAGAAAACTTAATATTTGTGAGAGTATAATGAGAAAGAAGAATAAGCGCCAGTGAAACTATTTGAGCCCCAGAAATCAGGTCTTCGGTGTCACCTATTTATCGATATCTTGGATATTTTGTATGCGAAGACGATAATATTCCTTATTTTAAATGGTTCTTAAGAAGCTTACTATCCCTCAATATTCGATGTCTTTATTTTAGTCATTCTTCTGTTGCATGTGTATAATGTCTGTGTAAAAGCAAATCTGAACTTGGCTTATTTTCCTTTTCGATTTTTAAAAATTGTTTGTGATAATTTAACCGGGACAAACTAAGAGTGGCCATTTTTAGGACCTTTTTGGCGAGGTTACGAAAAAGGTTTCTTTTTTTATACTAAATTTTCATTATAATGAATCTGGGCAAAAAGTAGCAATAATAGGACCTCACAAAATGTAGTGAGTTTTTTCAAATAATTATAAAAACGAGCGTAGTAACTTCGTAACGTAGAGATCAGTCTTTTTGGTCCGCCTTAAGTCGCAAACTTCAGCTCATCGTTCTTACGGTAAGTAAACGTCATATTTAGCCATATCCGTCATACTGGAATATTTTTGCTGGCTGATATTTAAGAAAAAGTTAGGCGCGAAATTAGTGGAAATCAAGAAGCCGTGATTTAGTGGTTAGAGCTAGTCACTCTTGGGCGGTAGTGCGAGCTAGAATCACTTAATCTCTGAGGTTTTTTTATCTTTCGAATTTGAGTTTCTGTCAAGGCTTATTTCTGTTTTTTTTCAGTGTCAAATGTTACTGATCGAATTGATTTGTATTAATGAACGAAGTGAAGGCATTTATTTTACTAACATTGTTTTTTTCTTCGGCAAAGTCTTAAAAGTTGATGAATCTGACGTTTGATTTCTTTTAATGTTGAATTCATATCAATTCCCTAAAGAACAGGCTTATTATGCTCTCTCATAATGAAAATGCAAATAGCGTGACAAAAAAAAACATAAATGACTAGATTCAAAAATGGACTTTAATTTTCTGCATTTCCAACGGAATAAAAAAAGATTCCTATTAACCCAATTTTCTTGAAATTCAGGAGCTTTAATTTTTTTTCAGGAGCTTTAATATTTTGGATATGTTGTCTTTATCCAAAATTGAGAGGTTGAAAGATTTAAAGCAATTCAAATAACTTTTTCGGTTTCTTTTTTAGAGTTGATGAATGTAGTTCAGACTCTTATGTAGGTCGTGGTGATTTTTTTTCAGGAAAGTCTAAAAATTTGTTCAGGCTCAAATTAAGTTTTTAGCGATTTGACTTTTGATTTCTTTTCAAGTTCACTTCTATTCATTTGCTAAAAGGAAGGCAAACTCAACTATCGAACAGCAAAAGTATAAAGGGCGCGAAAAACGTGATCGATTTCTAGTTTCGAAAATGGAATTTGTCAGATATCCCAGCGAAATAGAATTTTTGTCTATTAAACCAGTTTTCTTAAATTGGTTTAATTTTATCAAAAAAGTGTCAATCAAAAGTGTTCTAGGAGCTCAAAGAGCCTTAAGACCATCTATTTTCTTCTTTGAATAGATTAAAATTCGAAAGTTGTAATTTTTTCAAATAACAAATCAGTATTTGTATCTGTTTACTTGTGTTTATTGACTGTTTTCCAACTGTCTGTTGGCTATGTTCGCGAGTTAAATGAAACTTTCAGCTGACTATGCTTCGTTATTTGTCGTTTGTAGAGCTGCTTTTGCAGGTTTTTTTCTCGTCATGAAAAACTGCTGCATGGGCTCTGTGTAAAAACTTGACTCAATTACTCTGTGACGTTGTCTAGTAGAACCAGGGTTATAATCTGCTAAAATTGCATGTGGCTTAGTTAGTGATTGTACCAAATTCCCCAAAGATCAACGCGCGCCAGTGCTAAATCCTTACTTATAGTTTAAATGTCCCAACATAAGCGTCGGGAAAAAAATTGCAAAATTATTTGTAAAACATTGTAAAATCTTACCCCCATACGCAATGTTTGAGTTATTTGGACCAGTTAGCTTGCCTCCTTTTAACTTTGCAGGAGTTTTGAGGTTGATTAATTCGTCGCCTGCGCTACGCGTTAATGGAAATGTAGCTCACATTATTAACCACCTTGTTAGTTTTCTAACACCCATAATTTCAGAGGGCAACCACTGGAAATATGTTGTTTTGATTTTTGAATCAAGTCATCAATATCTTTCAGAGTCTAAAAAAACTCCCGTCGAAACTGGTTGATCAAAAAGTCGAAATATGCCTGGAAAAAACCTCCCTAGCTCAAATGTTTTGTCGGTGGCCAAAACATTCTTTATTCAGAGGTATTGAATTTTTCTTAGCTATTATAAACAGCTTGTATATCAGGGCAAAGCCATGAATGTTCTGACTGTCTTTTAATTGATCTCCATTAGTTTTTGTTTTTAGTACAAAACGCTTTGATAACATGCATGTTTTTGGACTGGCAATATCAAATATTGTGTTGAAGTTTTAGTCGTATGAGGAAACAATAGAAAGAATCAAGCTCGCTTGATTTTAGTTCGGATAATTTCCTGTGCAGGATAATATTTCGCGGTACGCTTTCAGCATCCTAGATAAAGTTCTCAAAGAGATTTTTAAACGAGATGTAAACGTAGTTTTGAAGTGACTTTAAGATAGAGCGTAGTACAACTTCTTGGGAACGCATAGGCTCCAGGTTCGATGCCCAGTCTATAACTTTCTTTCAGAAATTATCTAGATTAAAAAACCACCCCAATCATAAATATTACTCACTTTTTTTCGAAAATCGGAACCATGAGCCATGTAAGCTAATTTTTCCGCTGTGATTCGAATTGCTGTCAATATTTTTGCTATTTCAATTATCGGAATAATCGAAAAGTACGGATTAATTGTCGTTATTTTTGCAATTAATTGTTTATTAGTTGCATGCTGCTTGGTTTTGCTGAGTAGCGTGCATGCATCCATCAATGCATAAACTTTTAGGTGAAGATGCCTGCAAATAATTTCGGATCTTCTCGATTTTGGCGGTTTTTAATTGGCAGCCTTACAAGTTTAGTACCAGGGATATCAATCAGAGCAGTGATTTTGGTTTATTAAAATTACGTATTCAGTTATATAGAACACGTATATAGAGCAGTGATATTAAAATCACGTATTCAGTTAGTAGAACGACAGGAATCATAATTTCGCGATAGCAAAGTATCATAGCAAAGGAATCGCGATAGCAAAGGAATCATAATTGCGCGAGGAATACCTTTCGAGGTGTTTGGACATGAGGCTGAGCTAGTGAGCTTAGAAGTAGCGAAGCAGCGTCGAGCTGGTTTAGTGTGTCTATATTTGGTGAGCTCTTGAGACAATCACGTGATCAGATCAGATGAATCAGCTATAGCCAGCAATACTGGAAGGTAAGCCGTCTCTTGGTAACAAATAATAAATCGAAGTGTCATGTCTAAACAATCAGAACTAAGTTCAGAGAAGAAAAAAAATAGCTTGACGAGTCTTTTGTGACGGTTATAGCGAAAAAACAGATGGCGCGAAAGAGTTTCCAAAGAAAATATAGGAGCTAGATTAAAAAAAAACTTTTCAGTGAAATGAAGTTCCTTGTGTATCTGCAGGTGATAAAAGGTCTACTAATCATGTGTCAAATTTGCAGGGCTTTTAGTTTGTCATGTAGTTTTAATTAATTTAGCTATTGTGATTTTATAGGTTGAAAAAAGTGACAGTTCATCCAAAGACGTGGTGGACAAAGCTGGAATTAGACTGAATCTGCTCATTCGGTAAAGGTTTGTCAATTTATGTTTTTGGCTCATTAGCATTATGGCACCTTACATTAAATTAGGCGTACAATCTCCCCCCCCCCCCCCACCCTAATTGACCAATTGTAGCATTTCCTCCTAGCCACGTATTAAATTTGAAAATTAATTCTGTATAATGTTTGCATTTGAATGCTGTTAATAACCTAAACTAACGTACTTTTAATCAATTTTCTCTAAATAAACTTAGTTTGCGATAAATCTAAGGTATACTCAAAGTTATTACCTGAAAAATCGATATTTTCTACCCCGTAAATCAATTGGGGGGGGGGGGGGGTGTTGTACGGTTGATCCAATTAGGACACAAAAAAAAACGATAAACCAGTGTGGCGATTTTTTAACTGACATGGCTGAGGTAAAATTTGGGACAATTGAAGTTGTTAGAAGATAGGATATTACGAGGTCAAACTGTGCATTTTGTGAATTGTAAGCGGATTCCGCAACAAGGACGCTCCCTTTGTTCTTCTTTTGTTCTTTCATTTCCTTTGATTGTTTCGACATAATTTTAATATGTTTAAAGACTTGTCTCTGGAATCCAGGAACATACAGACGCAAAATTTTGCGCCTATTCAGTGCACAGTTTGGCCTCGTAATGGATTGAAAATGGTATAAAGTTGTGGGCTTTTGAGTTTTTCGAATGCATCATTTGGGCAGTTGAACCTATGAACTTCAGCATCATATCTGAGGCTAAAGTCTATTTCGAAATTACAACCAAGTATATGCTGATTGCATTTAATTGATCTGAAATATGATCTGGCTTCGATTTTTTTAATGTTTCAGGAAGTCGTTAGTCATGTGAAAGAGAAATTTTGGACAAGACAGGAATGGGATTTATCAGCTCATTGTGATTAATGAGACTGCAAGGATCAGAAGTCAAATTGACCGAACTTGAAAAAAAAACAGATTACTACAATCAAAACATAACAAAGTAATAAATAGAAATAGACATTTTTAAAAAGAAGTCTTCAACCAGAAATCAAAAAGCATAATAAAGCGTAATTGTTGTTTACACAAGCATAGCTTGTGTTATAGTATGAACTTTCCAACCTAAGTCGCAAATATTGTTGCGACAAAATGTTTTCATTTTGAAAGTGTTCATTTTGATCCAGCTATTAAGTACAGTCAACGCTAAGGTATAATCACAGACTATTATATTTCAAATAGCACTTTAGCTTTAAGGTATCATAGGTCTGTGGCGTAGAGGTAAGTAAGGAGACCAGCAACAAAATAAGAGGGTTCGAACCTTGGCAGGGACGGATGTTTTTAATGAACTTTTTCGTATACTAGGTGGTTGGCGTTATCCGCCACCCTTCCAAACGAGCGCGCGTGAGTTCCAACAATCCATAGCGAGCAGCCGCGAGCGTTTACCGTTATGCATTTGACGGATAAAAAATGCGATCTCGCAAACGTACCGCTATTTTTTCCTCGGGTTTTTTCCATTGTGACTTGCTCGGGAAGTAGAGCAGATGAT